CTTTGGGAGGTGAGTAGGCCTTAAGGGTGGAGCCCTCACGAATGGGATTAGCGCCCTTCTGAAAGAAACTCCAGAGTGCTAGCACACCCCTTGCGCCATGTGAGGATGCAGAGAGAAGACGGCCCTCTGTGAATAAGCAATGGGTTTTCCCCGGACACTGAATCTGCCGACACCATGATTTTGGACTTGCCAGTCTCCAGAACCGCGAGAAGTAAGTTCCCGTTGGTTAGGTGCCACTCAGGTTATGACATTTTGTTACAGCAGCCCAGGCTAACTGAAGACAAGAAAAGGGGGGAACATAAACATAAGAAGAAGAGGTAACCCAAGCAGGGTGGCTTCGGAGTCCTGCTTCTAGCCATACGTGCGGCCATTGCATACAACCCGGCAACACAGCACCGCCCTGGGGAAGCCATGAGAATATGTCTCTTTGCAAGTGCCTGAGAGCCTAGCTTGAAGGCCAGCGGTGCGTGTCCTTCCTCCCAGGGCCTGGACCACTCCGACAGGCGAAAGATCGTACACAGTGCTGCTTGAACAATGGTCAGAGGGTTGCCGCATGAGTGGTGGGAGCCTGTAGACAGGGACTGTGGGGTCTTGCGCTGGTCACACAGGAAATGTCACCCCCGGACCCGCACCCATCCCACTGGAGCTGCCGGAAGGTGAGCTGATCTGGCATGAATCATGTTCACTCCCCACCCACCAAAGCCCTGCTTCCAGCTGCTGGCGTCTCGCATTTCACATGTCCCAAATGTTGGAATTCCTAGGGCCCTAGTTAAAGAAGGCAATGCCCATCTGGAGGGCCTCTACCATCCTTCCAGGTAAAAATAGATCCCGCTTGGTGCTCAGACATGGTTAATTATCTGGGACTGTGGCCCCCACCTTTATATAGGGATTCACAGTATGCGAGGCATCTTTATAAAAGTGGTATCGTTTGATGCTCAGAAAAAAACCCTGCGAGCTAGCTTAGGCTACGTGATACTTAATGCTCATTTTTGTCAATGAGGACACTAAGGCTGAGAGAGATTAAATGGCTGGAGTGAAAGGTAACCCGCTGCCAAATATCAGGGGAACTAAAACCCCACCCTTCTGTCCTCAAATCTGGCATTCTTCCCTTTACACCAGAGCATCCCGGTGCGAAACAAAAAGTCAGTAGCAACTCTGGTTTTTAATCACAAGTGATGAACAGCCAGACAAAAAAGTTCTATCACTGCCATTGGGCGCCAGTCCTAGAGCAACCCTCAGTGGGTCAGTGTGCCTTGTGTTTAGGAAGGAATCATTCCAGATTGGCCAAGGAGGCTAAGAGAGATGTGTTAAGCACACCGTTAAAATATAAGCCGTGCCTTTTGGGATGACCATGACTGCCGGCACTTCTGTGTGTACTACAGTCAGACGGGCAGCGCTGAGGGGAAATAGCACAGACTCCTGGACAGAGCCTTGGACCGTGAGACTTGAGGCCCGAGTTCAAGCGCCTGCTCTGGTACTTACTAATGTGACTGCAACAAGTCATGTCCCTTCTATGGGACTTACCTTCTTCACCTGTAAAATGGGGATAAAACCCTGCATCCTATCCGTCTGACAGGGTTGTTGCAGGAAGCAGATGAGATAATGGACATCAGAGAAGCATATTTGTCCCCTGAGGAAGAGAGATATGTGCCAGGGGTCAATTCCCAGCCATTCGGAATCTTTCCCACTCCAGGGTCTTTGGCTGACCCTGGGAAAGTGACCGACCGTTTGCAGGAACCTAATCTTGGACCTCCTCCAGCTGCTGAGCTGAGACCACCCGCCGGGTCACCTAACACTCCGTGACTTGGAGACTTCCTGCTGACCTCTCTGAAAATATTGTCAAAAGACCAAAGATACACTGAATAGCTGGCTTCCTTTTGGGGAGGCGGTCCCGCTGAGCCACGTGACGCAGGGGCACGGAGCCACCTTGATGGGGTGGGCAAAGGAGCGGCTTGGCTGCCTAGGGAACTCATGAGCATTAGTAGCCCATGAATCCTGAGCCACCTTTCCACTCCTTCTAACTCAGTTTGTCTGGTCGATCTCTGACTTCTCCTCTAGCCCTAGAAGTCTCTGAATCTATGAAGCTAGTTCACGACTCCACAACTGTTGTCCATTCACTTGCCCTCTCTAAATGCCATTGCCCCATCTGCAAAACCCAAATCACACTTCCTGCCCGCAGCTGCAGCGTGCCACTGTGCAGTTTGATTAGAAAGTCACTCTGAACTTGATCTCCTTGGAGGATATCTGCCTCGCTCAATCAGTCAGTTGTAATGAGGTCATCGTTGAAACTGGCAGCTTGCACGGCTTTGGAATTCAAGCAAAGCACAGCAGACTTTCCCCCAAGAGCTGCATAAGCCTCCGGTACCCTGGGGCGACTGCTGCCCAGCTGATGTCAACCTTCCCACCAGCAGTCTCCCCCAAGATGTATCCATCACAACGAGGCTTGCTGGCAACTCACAAAGTTCTCCCCACAGACAGCACCCGGGCTCTCTGCTGCTCCTCCTTAGAAGTCCTCTTTATTTATCTTCCTGCAGAAGAATAGGTGGAAGGTCGAAGTTCATAAAATGCTCCTTCTGGTCAGCCAGTCTTTAGCCTGTACAAAGTGGAAACCACTGAGAGTCTGTGAGTTAGTTCAGCTGTTCTCAAACTGTGTACTATGGATCCCTGGGGTCACCAAGATAGTTTCAGGGATGCCATGAGGTCAGAACTATTTTCATAACGGTACAAAGATGTTCATTGCCTTTCCTCCCTCTTTTGACATTCGCAGTGACAGTATAAAAGCAGCAGTGAGTAAAACTTCTGGTCCCTTAACACAAATCAAGACAGCGACCCTAGACTGTATGGTAATCGGTATATTCGTCACTATCGTGTACTTGCCATAAAAAAAATTTTTTTAAGACGGTCTGGGATAAAACAATAAAGTTACCAACTTTATGAAACCTCAACCGTTGCGTAGCACGTTGTTTTCATGCTGTGTGTCCTACCGGTGAGCGCACATAACTTCTGCCTCCTTCAGAAGTACCACGCTGTCTCCAGAAGAATCAGTTGTGTGGTTGCGTACAGCGAGCTGTACTAATCACCCTTTCAGAAAACATGTTTTTACGTGAAAGAAGCAACTGACAGATAAACGGTGGTTATTCAGACTTGGGTTTTGGCAGGTATTTTTTCAAAAATGAATCTCATGAGGCTGTCACTTCAAGGAAAACAACAGACAGTATTTGTTGCCCATGACAAAATCCGAGCTTTCAAGTGAGAATCAGGATCTTGGAAAAATTACATCTGCCACTGCGAGCTTGACAGGTTTCCAGGGTTTAATGGCTTGTCCAATGATATGCCAATGGTGATATTAACAAGTGCGATTTTTAAATACTGGAAAATGAAGTGTGTTGATATTTAGAAAATGTTTGTAACTTGGGGCGCCTGGGTGGCTCAGTCAGTTGAGCATCCAACTCTTGATTTCGACTCAGGTCATGACCCAGGGTCATGGGATCGAGCCACAGATTGGTCTATGCACTGAGTGTAGAGACTGCAAGATTCTCTCTCTCCGTCTGCCCCTCTTCCCCTCTCACACACTCTCTCTCTCTCAAAATAAAAATTAATTAACTAATTAAGTGAGAAAATGTATATAACTCAGTGAATCAATTTGTTTTAAATGACCCATGTATGATGTTAGAAAAAGATAAAGTCAAAGTGCAAGATAAAGGAATAGATTTTAATGTAAGAAGGCAAAAAGTTCATTGATGTGGTTTCATATTCTACATTATAAGGAAACTTTAAAAAAAACTACCACCTCTTGAGTTGAGATGTAGTATGAAAAAAGAACACCCAGAATTATCTAAGAAAACTATTAAAATATTCCTCCCTTTTTCAACTACATATATGCATAAGGCCAGATTTTCCACATACACATCAAACAACATAGCACAACAGACTGAATGCGGGAGAAGCTATGAGACTCCAGGGTCAACTCTGAAGCTAAACCTTAAAGCAACTTGCAAAAATATAAAACAATGCCACATTTCTCTGTAAGACTTTTGTTTTGGGAAGTAGAATTACTTTTTATAAAATAAAAATAAAATTAAATAAAAATTTAATAAAATAATATAAAAATAAAAAATAAAAAAATTACTTTTTATAAAATAAAAAGTTCCTTGTATTGACATGTTTATTATTGTAATTTTAAAGTGAATTAGTAAATAAATATTTTTTTAAATCCCTCTGTGTTCATTTTTAACACCGTAAATTTTGACAGCTATAACTCAAACAAAATCTCTTTGAGGTCCTCAGTAATTCTTAACAGTGGAAAAGAGTCTTGAGACCAAATCGTTTGAGAATGCCTAAGTTTCAATATTCTATAGTATTAGGATTGCAGATTCACAACAGTGGGGAGGCTTGTGGTCAAGAATTGTATGGGAGCCTTCTGCTACATGCTGGCAAGGGCTGATAAGGGCCAGAACAGTTCTTTTTTTCTTTTTTTCATGTTTGCTTATTTTTGAGAGAGAGAGAGAGACAGAGACAGAGACAGAGCATGAGCATGAGCAGGGGAGGGGCAGAGAGAGAGGGAGACACAGAATCCGAAGCAGGCTCCAGGCTCTGAGCTGTCAGCACAAGGCCCAATGCGGGGCTCGAACTCACGAACTGTGAGATCATGACCTGAACTGAAGTCAGATACTTAACCGACTGAGCCACCCAGGCGCGCCTAGAATTTGTATTTTAATAAGATCCCTAGGTGATTGGTGTGCACATTCAAGTATGATGGGCACTTTTCTATATTTCTTTAAAAAAAAATTTTTTTTAATGTTTTTTATTTTTGAGACAGAGAGACAGAGCATGAGCAGGGGAGGGGCAGAGAGAGAGGGAAACACAGAATCGGAAGCAGGCTCCAGGCTCTGAGCTGTCAGCCCAGAGCCTGATGCGGGGCTCGAACTCACGAACCGCGAGATCATGACCTGAGCCAAAGTCAGATGCTCAACTGACGGAGCCACCCAGGCGTCCCCACAACAGTTCTTAAGGTGGCAATGAGGCCGGCCAGAGGTGTGGTGCCCATTCACTGTGCAAACCAAGGTCACTATGTCACGTTTGGTTTCATTCCAATGCTCCAAGACCATGGCTCTGAAGTGGACTTGGTCTCCTCCGAGGGTCATTTCCAATGCCGGTTATTTGAGGGAGGGATGGGTATCCTGAAAAGAAGCAGGAACAGAGCATATAAATAGGACAAACTTACTCAAGCTGTCTGGGTGGCGACTTGAGCAAGCAAGGAGACTGGGCACATACTCTGCTTGGCAAGTGCTGAGATAATGCCTATGAGGGGGATACAGAAGTGGAGGCCGGGACAAGGCGGGGTCCGCAGGCCTCAAAGAGGAAAGCCCACCCGGTATCTTGTGTCACAGCATGACCCGCGTTTACTTCTTTTTTGTTATCATTGAGTCTCCAGTGAAACAAATCTTGTCAAAGAGCGCGGCTTTGTCTCTGCTGGAGGAAAGCGAAGGAAGAGGCATGAGTTGATTGATGTAGGGAAAATAGCAGGCCCTCATCCAGGTTACTGTGGGCTGGGGTAATGGTTAGAGAGAAATTCTCAAGAAAAAGGGGGAACTCACGACTCAGAGACATGGCTTCTCCGTCCAGTGACAGCTAGACTTTGTTTACAAAAGGCAGAATTTTGGGGCGCCTGGGTGGCGCAGTCGGTTGAGCGTCCGACTTCAGCCAGGTCACGATCTCGCGGTCCGTGAGTTCGAGCCCCACGTCCGGCTCTGGGCTGATGGCTCAGAGCCTGGAGCCTGCTTCCGATTCTGTGTCTCCCTCTCTCTCTGCCCCTCCCCCGTTCATGCTCTGTCTCTCTCTGTCCCAAAAATAAATAAACGTTGAAAAAAAATTAAAAAAAAAAAAAAAAAAACAAAAGGCAGAATTTTCCCTACAGGAATTGACTGACCTGAGGTATATTTTGGAGTAAAGAAGGGATGGGAGTGGCTGAATACAGCTGCTAAAGTGGCTCCCAAACTTCTACTTGGCGTCTAAGATGCCTGTGAGACATCCCAGACAGAGAGGCCCAGAACGGAAGGCAGAAGCTTACAGAGGCTGAGGTTCCGGAACTCTGGAGCGAGCACGCCACCTTGAGAACCACAGGTCCACATAGATCAGTGGTTCTCGGGCCTTGCAGCAATCCGGAATCACCGTGGAGGACGACAAGAAGGAAGATGCCCATCGCAGACCAACTGAATCAGAATCTCCAGGGGTGATTCTGATGCACACCACAGAGGGTTCATGAAGGCCAAGGAGACATTGGGATCTCCCAGGAAAGAGAGAAAGAGTGAGTGCAAAACACAGTCCCAAACCCCAAAGCATCTTACTATTGAGCACCAAAAGTCTGTACTTCCTGTCAGTAAAGAATGTGCTTAATTGAACTCTAATGAGCTTTCCACTACTGGCCGCACTCCGGCCCACGGAATACATGAATCACTTGTCCTTATGCAGTGCAAGAGTCCTCCGCTAATGTTTGGAGCCCTAAACGTAGCCACTTGAGCTTCCCATCTATCAGGCATAGTTAGGGATCCCAGAAGCCTCACATAGCCTGGCGATAAAACAGTCAGAGAAAGAGCTGGAAGGCAATCGGTGACAAACCCCAGCCCTTCCTAGATGTCGCTGTGGACAATGGATGCTGTCTCCTAGAAACAATCCCTTCCCTTGCACCCCAAGACCGGATGAAGTGAACATTTCTGAAACACGTCCAGGAGACAGACTGTTCTCTGGGAGGCTACGAGCTGTCTCTTCTAGCAAAGAAGGGAAAAACGTGAGTAAAATGTTTTTCATCTTTCAAACAAACTTCTCTTGCCATCGTATAAGGAACTCCATATGCCGACCAGGGTTTCAAAACTCTTTTAAACGTCATTATTTCATTCCCTTTATGGAGTATGTGGTCTTAAACAACATTGCTTGCTTGAGTGCATTCGTTAAGTAGTAACTTATTTGTCTGTGTACTAATGAATCAATGACATGTAAACATAGAAACTTCAGGTCAGCCTTGCTTAATACCGCGGGTACTCAATAGATGTTTGCTGCAATGAATTCAACTCAATGTCACCATACTACTAGGTAGATCTACTTTCCACCAAAGGCAAAGAAAATGGATATTTTGGCTACTTTTATAGCTTTGTTCCAGTGAAGGGGTTTTGGAAATAGCTCAAGGATTTATTTGTAGTATCGTGGAACACTAGGGTTCCAGGAAACCCACAGTAAGAAGTTCTTATATAGACTTTGACCCCCAAACTGAGCCGTGACAGGGTATAAACTTCTTCCTACGGGGACTTACAGGCAGGCCCAGCAAGACATGTCAGTTGTACCAGCAGAGAGGGGAATGCCTGCTTAGTACAGATAATGGGATGCCTCGTTTGGGTTTCTGGACCAGAAACAAGATGGCATTGGCCCAAGGACATACTTGGGGGCACACATAGTTATATTTGGCTGCAGGCAAGTTGAACTAACCTGTTAGCTGATCCCCAAGAGTGGATTAGAATCACCTGGGGAATGGAGACACCTGGGTGGCTCAGTCAGTTACGTGTCCGACTTCAGCTTAGGTCATGACCTTGCGGTTTGTGAGTTCGAGCCCCGCGTCGGGCTCTGTGCTGACAGCTCGGAGCCTGGAGCCTGCTTCGGATTCTGTGTCTCCCCCTCTCTCTGCCCCTTCCCTGCTCATGCTCTCTCTCTCTCTCTCTCAATAATAAATAAACGTTAAAAAAATTTAAAAAAAAAAAGAATCACCTGGGAACTTATTAAAATACTGATTCCTAGGTACTACCCCAGACTTGAACCAGAATCTCAGAGAAGGCTCTGCCATCTGCATTTTATTTATTTATCTTTTAAGGTTTATTTATTTAGGGGCGCCTGGGTGGCTCAGTCAGTTAAGCGTCCGACCAGCTAAGGTCATGATCTCCCAGTTCATGAGTTCGAGCCCCACATCAGGCTCTGTGCTGACAGCTCAGAGCCTGAAGCCTGCTTTGGATTCTGTGTCTCCCTCTCTTTTTGCCCTTCCCTACCCTCTCTCCCTGTCTCTCTCTCAAAAATAATAAACAGTTAAAAATTTTTTAATAACTAAAAAAAATAAAGTTTATTTGTTTATGTTGAGAGAGACAGAGACAGCATGAGTGGGGGAGGGGCAGAGAGAGAGGGAGACACAGAATCTGAAACAGGCTCCAGGCTCTGAGCTGTCAGCACAGAGCCCGACTCGGGGCTCGAACTCACAAACCCGTGAGATCATGATCTGAGCCCACTGACCCACCCAGGCACCCCTGCAATCTGCATTTTAAACAAGTTCCCAAGTAATTTGAACGAATGTCCCTCTCGAGAGCCAGTGCCAAGTACTCCACACTGTCAAGCATTGAGGGTGGGGCCGGTTTGTGAATGAAGATGGTCCGTCAGTAAACAGCTGCTTCACCACCACAGTCCCTTTCTGTGTCGCATCCTGCCTCAGTGTTTCCCACATTTCCCACTCTGCTCTCACAAGCTCAGGGAGGTGGCAGAGAGTGGCAGAGCCAGGGAAGGCCTCAGACTTTCCACACCTCGACCATCCGCTCTGTTAGGCCTTCTTCCCCACAGCTTGTGCCGAAAGGACCATGTGAAGACATTTTGCCCTATATCTTCCCCTCTCTTGCCAAGGAGTCCCTTCCCACCCTCATCACATGGTGACATTTTATCCTTTGAGGTACCGACAAGTATAGACGGCCACCACCGCCCACATATCAGAGGGGCTCTGACAAAGGGCTCATGAGATTATGAACCTTATCCACTGTGAGTAACACAGGAAGGGCTCTTGCAAAACACCGCCTCTTAGGGCGAGGTGCTGGGACACTGCTCCAGCTGTGTTCAAAACTCCAGCTGTCTCCTCTTCCCTGGCTCTGGAGGAAGAGATAGACACTTCCCCAACATCCGGGCCTCAGGTCTTGCTACAGACGACCCTGTGGGCCCAGCTCACCTGCCCTCTCGCGTCCTGCCAGCCTCTGTGGGAGCCTCGGGGAGAGCATTGACCTTCTGGCTGAGCTCCCCTAACTCAGAGTCACCAGACTGCATTCCTCACTTCGGGAGCAAATGAGGCTCCAAGAAAGGGTAGAATCAGCAGGAAGCAGCTGTTAAGGCACCTGGAAACACCAGTGACCATTGGTGGACTTTCTCCCCCTCACCCCCCGGGGAAAAAGGCCGCCCAGACGAAAGCACCGCTGTTATGTTCCCATCTAGGGTTGCTCAGTGGTGCCAAGGTGGAATGTGAAGTGTGCTACCTGTCTTGGCATCCATGACCCTCTTC